GGCCCTTTTCCTAGACCCCGCCAGCCGAAATTCCTTGGCTGGTGGGGGCCACCATTATTCAGCTTACTGGTTCTGTTGAAAAAAAATACAAAATTCAATAAGATGTGAAGACGTCTTGTTATTAGCAACATACTTTTTATATAGTATTATTTTTTAGGTAATTTAATATGGATATTTATTTTTACTGTTTTTAGTGTTTGATTTTAATTGTGAGCCACCCAGAGTCACCCTCTGGGGGAGATGGACGGCATATAAATTTAATAAATAAATAAATAAAATAAATAAATAACTTCTCCTGTACTTGTTCAGCAAGATGCATATATTTGTTTCCTGAGTTCCACAGAAGTGTCCCAAAACAGAAGATACAAGCTCCGATTTCCAGCTCAACTCTAATGATTAAAATCTGACTCCAGAATTGGTACAAACATATACAAAATGAGGCAGCAACTTTTGACCGACAGACCCAAAGATTCTGAGTTGCATTAAGTAGGGACGAACAAGAGAATTTGAAAACATGCATGTATCTATTTAGCTTCCTTATGACTTGCATCTGGAAAATCCATTCCTTCCTGGATGTAATGATTTCAATAAAACATACTTAATTGCTCTGAAGTTGCTCACTTTCCATCTTTGTGTTTGCCACAGCTCTAGAAAATGGATGGTCAGTTTTACACTATGGCACATGAAATGAAAAAGTCTATTATCTAGTTAATCAAAATATAGATTACTTCCTACATGGGCAAAATATATTTTGAAATTATTGGTATACAAAGGTAGTTTCTGAAGAGGCTGAGTGCAGGACACTCCTTCCTACTTTTACTAATTTTTCCTTTGACAATCCATAGCACATATTACTATGCCAGACCTAGTTTTTAAGTTAATATCATGCAGTAATGTGGAAGAACACTGGAATGGGATTCACCGTCAACATGGGTGGATGCCCAAGTGAACAATCTGAATGAGGCTGAAATGCAATTCATATTCTCCCCGTCCATGCATGAGATTTAGAATAACAGAAGACAATGGTAAACTACTTTAACAAACAGATCTTTATTAAAGCTTCATTAGAATTGCTGACAGTAAGTCAAAGTTTGTGTTTCTTCAAATTGCCATGTTTGAAAATCCATGAGATTCTAATATGCTCAGAATCTGACAAGATTCCTGCTGTAATTAAAAGTACAGTCCCCAGCTGTCTAGCTGGAATTCATTATTAAGTCATTTATTTGGGGATGCTAAGTGGCTAAGGTGGTAGGATATCCCCCAAAAGGAAATTCCCTCTGAACATAATCTGCATTTGTAACCCCAGTAGTTTGGCTTAAGGATTGTAAAAACTTTGGTTCATGTACTTGTAGCACCATAAATTCTTCCCATTTATTTCTCCAGTGGGGCATAGTTCAGGAGCTTTTCAATCAGGTCCATGTGGGCAAGCAGCATTCTGCGACAGCAGTATCTTTTCAGACCCAAAGCATCCAAGGCATCACTAGGAAGAAACAAAAGCAATAGTATTTTCAGACAAAAGCATCATGCTTAAATCAGATCCCAGAAAAAACAAATAGGAGAGAAAAAAACAATGTGAGCATCTGCAACAGAGATTGGTGCAATTGAGAACTACTTAGGGATCATTAGGTAAAAAAAAGTTGTAGAAGAAGTTGCCTCATAAATGTTCTGTAAATTCTACTTGGATCAATTACTAGTTTTTAGATTTTTCTAGCCATAAACATGTGCCTGATGTGATTGCCTTGAGCATTCCCACTTAAAATCACATCTGGTGTCTTGATAGTCTAGTGAGAGGGACTGCTGTTTTGATCTAAGAACCAAGGCTGTAGTGTTGGGGAAAAAAGGTGTTTGGATGGCTGTGACTACTTCAAATCTTACCTTCTTAACAAAGACGCCAGATGTAGAAGATGGCTTCTGGCCTCCAGAAAAATGTAAAAAGAAAATGTGGGAAACGATTAGATCTATGATTTGCTTATTTTCTTTCCATCCCAATGCTTAGGGATTCACCATCACAAAAGTCACACAGTGTTGGCTTCTAGCAGTTTTCAGCAACATCCTCTTTTTCTCCTTGTCAACTGTTCAATATTGTATTTATCTAAAAGGAAGACTGAACAAAAAAGTCCTCTTTCAAAACAGAAGAGTAGATGGGGGAAAAAAGACAGGAACCCTCTGCAATTCTTAGCGTCCCCTCCTTCTCAAGCCAGGACTGTCAATTCTACTTGAAACCAACCCTGGAGATTCCTCTCCTCATGCTATTGCTATGTGCATTGTGCTTAAAAGAGACACACTTGCATATGAATACACGTATATGAGTATGCCTGCCAGAATCCCCATTCTAAGAAAAGGGCAGGATTGAAACACGAACATAATTTACTGAATCAATAACTACTCATTCAAATTAATTGACAGTGCACATGTTGCAGTGCTGTGTGTAGTGGTGTAATGTCACTCTCAAGAAAGAGCATTTTTTCTTTCCCCAGTAGCATAAATGCTGCATGGGAGAAACTTCTTGCTCTGTGATGATTTCAACCATCTGACCTTGCTGTGTCATCCTGGACTTTTTTTTTTTTTTTATCATCACTCTGATGCATGCAGAGGATTATTCAGATGGAGGGGACAGGAAACTGTATGCTGGTTTTAGGTGGATCGTTGTTCATTAGGCTCTGTCATCCCCATGATCAGGTCTTGCTATTCAGCCTCTATTTTGTGGAAATAGCTTATCTGGCTTTAACCCTGACCTTTCAGGTAAACATTCCATTTGTTTGTATTGTATATAAATCCAGGTTTTCAGTAGGACTAATTAGCAACTTTCACATGGCAGAGTCATAGGCACTAACGAGGATAGAAACATTATGAAAGAAGTTGGCATTTTTAAAGTGTTATTATTGTACATTTTGATATGTAAGGAAATATTACATTCTAAAGTGGAGAATATAGCTCATAAGGATGTGCATAGACATAAAGTGTTTAGAGCATTTAACATTTAGTTTGGGTGACAGGCACTCACAGATCAAGTAAGTGGAATCTAAAAAATATAAGCAGAGAACTGATGAACATAAAATGACAATCTTTGCTTCCCCAACAAGTTCTAGATTTCCACATCAGATGAAATCCTCTTCATAGCGTTCAACCTCAAATCTATTCAAACAACAATAAAACTAAAAATAGATCATTAAACATTTTAATAGTGGTATATCATAATTTTTGTATTCATTTTAGTAGTGTTTTGATGAAAAATCCAGCATACATAGGCTGCAAAGTTGTATAAGCTTATATGGAGATGGTTTTATTGAACTCCAAGGAGTTTTTTTCTGAACAGATATGCATATGAACACATTAATTTCCACAAAAACTGCAGAAAAGCTGAGTACTGCAAAAGAATTCTCATATACTGATTTTTATGAACCCATACTCCAGCTTTTAAAAACCCTACATCTGATAATATGGAGCTAAACAATTAAGTAGAAGTGATTATGTTCTTTTCTTCAATATTGTTTCTAGTCAGTGCTATCTGAAGAAACTCAACATAAGTGAAAAGTAGCATTTCCAAATACTGCAGAATTTCTGCATCTCTGGACAACTAGCTTATTCAGCTGACATGACCTTTTTTTATTACAAGAAATGATTTTAACAATATCTGACATACTTATGTGTCCTGAAAATTGTCAGAAGACAGTTAGTTACTACAGACAACTCTGATGTTAGAAGGAATTCAATTATGCATTGTATGCTCACTTGGTTAATATAAAATCATACAATAAATTGCAAGAGAATCAGATTTATACTCAAGGCATATACTCAGACATATTTATCATGCAAATATTGTAGTAATATACTATTTAATCTCAGGCTTTAGATCCGTAATTTCCAATTCTGTATTTGCAATGAAAAATCAATGGCTATCACAGCATGATTAACTGCAACCAGAAACAATTCTACGAAGATAAGGAAAATGGTAGATATAGCACAAAAGAGAATAATTGACAATGCTTCTCAAATACCAGTCAGTCAATGAAAGAAACTTTTCTCAGGCCTTTTCTAGTATATAATGGAGATTCAACATAACCTGCTATTTAATTACCACTATGTGAAAAACAGTGGTATATGACTGCCCAAATAAGCAAGCTTTTTTTTTTTTAAAAAAAAGAGCACATCAATATTAGGAGCTGCTGGAACAAGATTAATATTTAAAAACCAATCAAATTACTTGATTTTTTTGGTGATATAATAAACTAAAATGTTACTCAGAAACATACTTCTGATGGGACACTACAAGCGAGCAGCTAAGCAATGCCTTATCCTGTATAAGCTATCAACTGAAGCCCTCATAAAACTAAAACCCACAGCATTTTTCGTTAGCAACGTTTTCATTCAGCGGCATGGAAATAATATATTTAAATATTACATTCCATCCTAAATTGTTATATTGATCAAATTCTTACTTATCTTATAAAATAGTTATGAAAGTGCAGGAATTGAGGAGAATGCACACCCTTCTGTATATTCTCCTTGCAAAAGGCCAAGATATGCCTCCCATTTATTTCCAACTATTTTACCACAAGTGAAGCATCTCACAGGTGTAATCATTTTCACCTATGAAAATATATATATAAACCCCCCCTTCATAATTAAACTCACAGTGCAAGTTATATTTAGAAATTAAAAGCAATTAACTTCATCTGAGCTGAACTCCTGTTTTGCAGCCTATTGTTTGCCTGAATTAACCATATAACCCAGCCCGAAAGGTATTTCCTTGGGTGGAGGCACAATGGGCATAATTGCTGAAGCGAGTGTGGACTGAATATGGGATGTCTGGGAATCTCAAGTAAGTAGGATCAAACACACATGCAAAAAACCATCCGAATAAAACTGGCTCCATTTTTTAGGGTGTTTTATATACATATTTGCTCAGGCTGCAATCCTAAGCAGTTACCAGCATGACCTATAACATTGCACGGCTTGAATGTATTAATTTAAGGAAAACAGCATTTGTTACAAGTCCACAGTCTGGAAAAAAACAACAACCCTAGATTGCCTTTTAAGAAAGTATAATTTTTTATCTGTTTATAGTAAGTGAACATTATTTCAATTAGATAGCACATGGAATCAACTAACACTCTTTATCTCCAACCAGGTTACAAACCAACCAACCAGGAGACAGACAAAGCAGAACAGAAAATTGTTTTGTAGGTGCATGCTGCATATTGGAAACCCTATTTCAGTTGGTGCTGAGCAGCACTTTTAATTAGATAACTCCAAGGTAGGATCTAGAAATAAAAATACAAAATAAAGACACACTTGAGTTGAGCTCAACTCCTGGAGACGGAATCTATGTAGTTTTCTTGTCATCATGGAAGTAGTTTGCTGTGACCTTCTTCTGGGATGATTTGACTTCCTAGGTGGTCTCACATGCATGCACTAACTAGAACTGCCCATGCTTAGCTTCAACATCAGCCAGGCATCACTGCCTTCTAGAACAGAGATAGGCAACGTACGGCATTCCACATGTTGCTGAATTACAACTTCCAGCTGTCCTAACCAGTATAGCCAATGGTGAGGAATAATAGGACATGTAATACAGCAACATCTACATTGTCTGATCTAAAACATGAGTGCAGAATAGGATCAGACCCAAAGGCTGGATTGTTCCTCAGACTCTGTTTTGGTTAGATGTTGTCATTAGGGGCCAGGCAAATCTCGAAGTCCACTACTCTTTCAGCAAGGTCACCAAACTCCTGAGAAGAGCTGCCATACGGCATCACAGATATTTTTAAGCATCTCCTCTAAGAATCAGTGCTTGGATACTTCCAGGATACATTTTGGCTCATAGCAACTTGCAAATTAACAGATAAGGCCCCTGGAGCAAGAGGTTCCTTACTATAGCTGATTCTGAATCTTGATTTATGGGAACCCAGCTTTAAATTTTTGTTTAACCATGGAGCTCTCTGGGTAACCAACAAATGTACTGCATTCTCTTAGCCTGAATGCCAAATTATCTAATAGTATTGTTTTACATCCTTCATTTCTCAATAAATCTACCCTCTGAACATTTTTCATAGTATTATCTGTGGGGTGAAGAGGGGATAGAACTTGTTTGCATCAGCATGACCTGGTGCAAAATATCTGAATGTTCAAATGCAATTAACAAATCAGCTTACCAATGGACATTGTCCTGAAGGAAAGGCAGATGCAAAAGTTAAGTGATGAAACTACTTCTATTTAGTGAAACTAGTCGGAAACCGAACACTGTTAAACTATTTTAACAGTTTATCCTGTCTCATTCATGAAATGTTTTGCAAGGGTCCAGGTGATGTTTTCCCACACTTTTCTCAATTAAACAGGTGATGCTTCCAGATAAAGAGCTTGCATTATTGCCAATAAAAAGCATGTTTCTGTTATTTCTATTTCTATTCTGTTTGTTATATTCTGTTAATTGATTTTTTAGGTTTAAAAAAAAATATGAATGGAATATAATGAAAGATGCTGTCTAGATATTTAATAAAATTCTGCAAGGACCATTTTGCAATAAATGTTTTATCTGATCAAACTTATTCTAGATGAGACTTTTATTATGTAAATATTTAGCCTCATTTAAGGAACTGCACAGAGGCCCAGACAGTATTAACTTCCATCTGTAATTCTGTTTTCCCATCACTCTTTCCAACTCTTTTACTGCAGGGAAAAAAACTAAGGAAGAAGAGATGTAATAGCTACAAGACATCTTTGTGGTGAGTTGGGGCTTCTAGATAAGGCTTCTTTCTGGACAGCTATATAGCTCATTTAAAGAATTTAATTTGGGGTGCGTGCAAATGTTGTCATCCTCCATTTGTAACCTTCCTGTTATTCCCTTATTACTTCTTCCATCATTTCTAGAAAAAAAACAAGAGGAAAAGAGGAGGAAAGATTGGAATAGTTTCAGACTGGCTGTTTGCATGACATTGCTCATCCAATTAACCATAATTTATTCAATGTAACCTAACAACACAGTGAATCATAAATTAATCACGCAGGTTGCATTCCTACAGCACTCTAGACCAAAATTTAAGAGCGTGAAGCTCAATATGTTACACAACCCAGCCACGGCAGGCTTCACACATAAGGTTCTCACGGAGTGTGCCTGGTGTAAGCTCAGCACAGCGGGTTCATGTGAAGCCAGGCAACTCCATAAACGATGGCGTAGCACGAGGCTTGCTCCCCGCTAAAACGCTTTTGTGGGAAAGCCCCTGAAAACCAGGACTGCATCCCCAAAGCAAGCGTTCGTCCTGTCTTCATCAGGTCACTTTCGAGAAGAAAGAGGCACGAAACAGAATAAAAACCAAACTGAAAGGATATGGGCTGCAATTATACTGGTGTCGGTCCTTGCTGGGAAAAACATGCCACGGCTGGGCGATATAGGTAGGACACGGCACGTCCGGTTTCCGAAGCTTAAAAAGCCAAAGGCAAGTTCCCCGCTCGCCCCCTCGCTCGAGCCAGTTACCACCCAAAGCCGCCACCGGCTCTCTCTCCCGTTCAAAGCAGAGCGACGAAGCTACCGCCGGTCCACGTTTTCGCACGGCCACGCCCACTCCCGCGGGCTCTACTATTCCTCAAAAGGGGAGGACCAGTGTCTCCTAGTCTATTTTAGCCTCCCACGGCGGTAAGAGAAAATAGCGACATGTATCTATAGATATAGGTGTGATCTGCGGCAGGTTGAAACATCACGCCACTCTTTTTATTTTCTTTTTAACCCAAGTCGACCCTCCCAAGGATAAAAAATGGTACGTTCCGAAAGGTACGGCGCCGCGGTTGGCTCAAGATAACTGCGTTCCTGAAGAGCTTCGCGATTCTCGTGCGCGACGCGCAGAGTATCTGCTGGAGCGTTCGGCTCGCGGAGCACCGAGTTTAGGCAGCGGCTGGATTCCGGGGCTCATTGGGAGCAGCGGCGGAGCGGCAGGTATTTCTTCGCTTCTTTTCGCTTTGCCGCTGCGCTCTTTGGGCGACACTTTGTTGCTGAGAGTTTTTCCGACGGAGAGTTCGGACAGGGATGAAAGGCTTTCTCCCTGCTCCGCTGATTTGCTCTGCAAATTGGAAAGCGCAACTGGTGGTGTTGCAGTTGAGCCCCACCAAGTTTTTTTTCCCCTGTTGACGGGAGCAATAAAGAAAAAAAGCGGAGGGGAGGCAGTCGATAGAAGACGCTGCTGGCTGCTGTTGTCGGTCTAGTGTTATCTTACGTAGGGGGTCAGTTGGTCTGCTCCTCTGCTGCTGAGCAGCGATTTCTTCTCGCCTTGCCCCGAACCGCTCGAGGTGGCAGAGGGTTGCGCTGTTTCGTACGTGTTTGCATGCGCGGGGAAAAGATGCCGGAGAGGTGGTTGCGATCTCGGCGCTGTGTATTTTTAAACATCGAGAGAGAACTTTAAATGGAAACATAGTGCTGATAGAATAACACCAGACCGTCCTCATTTAACTTGGGAGACCGAGTTGCAGAGAAGGCAGTGATTTTCCATCGCGTTGCTCTTTGGCTACTCCGGCTGTTCTTGCTCAGACGTTTTTCGTTTCCGAAAGAAGGAATTTTCCTTCCTTCCTTCGGAATGTTAAGTTAATGGAGCCAGTGACTATGTTGGCGTCACGCGAAAACTTGCCCAATATAGATTTCTGTCTCTCCAGGAGCTGATTTAATTTCTCCGGCCTCTTGAGGGAAAAGCTTCCGCGCCTCGCTTCGAGGAGGCAAATCAGCCGCTGTTTCTGGTGGGCACATCCCGGTTTCTCTCCGTGCCCCTTTCTTCAGAAGGAGCCCCACGGGGGTCAGTGGGCTTACGCCCCGAGAAGTATTTGAAGCGAAACGTTTAGACTGTGAAGGCAAGCAAGCCTGTTAAGCAAACATCTGACTGAAATCAGTGGAGCAAGTCCCATTTGGTCAGCTGGACGTTGCTCCCGATAAGGCTGCACATTGAAAAACGTACCCGTATTTATGCCCGCCCTGCTCTTCCTCCAAGCATTTCGACGTCGTTCGGCCTCCTCTTGTCTTCGCAGAAATCTTTTTCAGGACGAGAGGTGGTGGTAGCGGATCTAAGATCACCCTGTGTAAACTTAGGGGCGGTGTGTGCGCGTGTGATAAGGATGTGAACGCTGGTGAAAATAAATGGGGAAAGAGCTGATGACTGTATAGCCGATTCCTGGTCCTGCAATCCAAATTAATAGCGTTCCTCTACAGTGTGTAGTCTTGCTGGTTATGACACAGGACTAGAACTTTTTTGCACTTGTGAGCTTGGCTGAAGGAACTGGGTGTGGTCCATTTGACTTTCTCTAGAGTAACTTTGGCTTGCCCCCTCTGGGCCATCCGTGCTGAATAGGCTGTGGAGTTTCTGTCTAAAGGCTGGGAGTTATTCACACGTGTATCTAGAACAAAATCCTCCGCCTTTGGGAGGATTGTGTCCAATGGCAAAATTGTATTGGGGAAGAATTATAAATCATGGGGGAGAGGAGAGGATTTGAATAACCTAAGGTGGGATTTTAGGTCTGCAATTAAGTCTCTGTCCTTCAAGCTGTGTCTGCATTTTTAGACAAATGCTGAAAGAAAGGTGATGGTAGTTCTTTGAATGTCAGAATGGAACTGAAGTCTTTCTGAGAAAGAGGGCATGAGGGAGCTCTTCCCTACAACTTGGATGAATGATGGAAGTTTTTGGATGGCTTTGTAACAGGGACAGGGAACCTATGGGGTTTTGGAAGCCTTTGGATTCAACATCACACTACTATGGCTAATAGAGTTGTGCAGTGCTTCACATTCAAAGGCAGCAAGGTCTTTGGTGCACGTGTGGAAGAGTGCTCACCTTGCAACTCTTTGATATAGCTGCAACTTTTCCTAGATTCTGTGGTTGCTCTTGACAGCTGCTGGTCAGTCCTGGGAAAAGGCATGTTTGCTTTAAGGAGATGGAGTCAGGTGCTATGTTTGTGCCCCCCCATGCTCAAAGACACCTGTTTGTCTTCAAATCTGAAGGACAGCACAGCATTAATAGTTATCTCTAGTTCAGCAGTATGTGGAGGCCTACAGATCTAACTTTTTTGGCCAACTTGATCCAGCCTATTGGGAAATTGAAGGATAGACTCTTTCCCCATGTCCCCACTGATGTCCTTCACTGCTATGATAAGAAGAGTTGCAAGGCCTGAAGAAGAAGTGTTGAAATGAAAGGCCTCCATGTTCCCCATGTCTTGTATGTCCCCCATTTTGTAGAATTAATGCTACTTATGAACTGTTGGAGAAAAGAAAATCCAATAGTATGCTAATCTTACTCTTTTTTTGTAGGTGTGGTAAGAACTTCTAGAGTTCTAGAAGTTAGCTATTGTGGGAAAATAGGATGCTAGACTAGATACGCTTTTGATCTATTGTAGCAGGACTCTTAGTTTCAGAGACTTGTGCTATTATGGTTAGATAACTTCAGGACCACACACTTATGATGGCACATTTTTGTATACTTAATTTAGATGCTAAGTAGGCAGATATACATCTGCACATGAATTTGGAGGAAATGAATGGATCTAAGCAATCATGAAGGTTATTTGGGGGATCACATTCCTGAATATAGTCCTGTGTGGTTAACATAGTTTTTCAAAAAGAAAATGAGTTTTAAATTATTCCTCCCTCCTCCCCAAAAGGAAAATTAGATAGAAGGAACTATCTTCTTTTATTACCAGATTCTAAGCTAATCTAAAATGACCATTCCACTTTAACAGTATGTTATTTGGGGAGAAAAAAAAATGTCCTGTTCTTTCTTTCAATAAATAACACAGAGGAAGTGATTTGTTCTAATCTAATAGTAATTTAGAAAGAGGTCTTTTCTGTAGTGGCAAATTGTGAGAGAGTGTGGGAAGAAAGTGGAGGAGAAGCGCAGTTTAGGGGAGAAGAGGCAGCACAGCTTGGATGTGAAAGCTGTGGGAAGCAAACATTTAAAAAAGACTTCACTTTAATGAATTCACTACTGTATGGGTCTGGTTGGGATTTTACTCTTAGAGTTTCAATATTATGTTTTTATCCCAGTCTAACATTAAAGATACCTTCCTGAAAGTAATGTGAACTTGTTTCCTTTGTTTGCTACCTTTGTGGGGCTTGACATAAATTAAGTACATAAATTAAAAGTAACAGGGAGATATTTTGTGACAACTATATGTTAACATATGATTGATTCCTTTCCTCTAAGGATTGATCTCAGTGTAAGCAAAACAGTTATGTCATTGCATGAGAGAGAGGTGTCAAAACACTTGGGAGAATCCCAGACTCTGTAGAAATAGAAAAGATTTTAGGGAAAATATGGGAAAGGGACAAAATAGCCCCCTGAGCGTAGAGCATGCTCTATGGCCACAGAATGTTGACTATTTGTTGTGTGAAAAGAGAACCAGGCAAACTATCTTGGAAAGGGATTTGGTTGGCTGGAATAGGGACACTCCATACTGCAACTGCATGTGTAACTATAATTCTTTCCATTTTGCTATGTTAATGAATGTCTCTAGTAAGACAAGAAATAATTGTCTGTATTCAAGCCTAAAGTCTACATTTAAATTAAAATAGTTCTAATTTAGCTACTTTATGCTAGAGACTTTTGAAATCTAGTTGTTGGAAAATGACAACATACAATTTAGTAGCAGAATGTTTGGGTAGATTTAAATGTTCTACCACTGATTTATGAATATTGCCAGTATTGTACTTTTTTCTTAGGTTTCTGCAAATAACAAAATTTCCTATGCCAGCATTTCTGTGCCACCTTTTTTGGTTTTGCAATCTACTTGAAAATCATGGTGGTCTCAGAAGACCGCCTAATCAGTCTTTTTGTTCTACAGATCAAAAACTGTACATCACTCGTATTTCAATGCTTTTCATTAATGTCAAATATAATATCAAACACTAATGTCAACTTCATTGTCAAAATCAAATACCTTATTATGACAATCATAGGCCTTGTAAGTAATTATTTTTAGAAAAACTAATAAACTGCATCAGTGTTATACTACAAGAACCATTGACGAATAACGCTAAGGTCTTGATAGGTTGTTTTGAGTAAGGTATAGTTTAAATGCTCGTCTTCTTATCTTCAGAAAAAAAAAATATAGGGCTAAATGTCGTGGCTTAGGAAATGCTGGTTGATGGTCTGCAGATGACAGTTAAAACTCTTCTGCCCATTTAACTATCTGAGATCTTGATTTTTTTACCTATCAGTTTAGCAAAGTTGATATGGAAAGATTGTACTTGTTGAGTTCTTTCATCTTTTCTGTCTGGATGTCTTAGAAAATTATGGTTGAAATAGTTAGCATGCTGTTATTGAAAAAAGATAACAGATTATATGGATGCTCTTTACTTGATTGTTTAGGTAATGTTATAGACTGAGGGAATATTGTACATTGAAAGTACTTTAATATTTCATAGATTTGGAGTGGCAAATGGCTTCCTGGAAATGGGTGTGTATAAACAAAAATCATGGTGTGCTGGGACATTGGCAAATTGCCGCATTCACTTTAAGACTGTTTTAATATTTGCTTGTTTAACCAAACCGTAGTTGAACTAATCCAGTTTTCTGGGTTTGCATGG